TGGGGGGGGGGAGTGGTAAGTGTTTTACGGCGCTCGCAAATGCATAAGGTCATATGAGCTTGCGGGACACACCTAAACATTTTCAGTTGGTAGGAATTTTCGAATTTTGCCCAGATGGTGGCAGAAGCCTACTCTTACCAATTTTAGACCCCCAAGGGATCTTTGGTTCAACGTGTCATCTGGAGTGAGACAAGGGTGTGTGTTTATCACCGCTACTGTTCATTATATACATGGAAAAAATTACAAAAGAAGCAAACCCCAGAAAACCTGAAAAAGATGCTGTTTGCGGACAATCAAAGCCTAGCACATGAGAAAGAAGAGCAACTTCAAGATCACACAGACAGGCTGAATACACAAAGTGAAAAGCTCAACATGAAGATCAGTAAAAGCAAAACGGAGACGATGAAAGTCAGTAGAACACCTGGTAACCTTAACATTACCGCTGAAACAAGTGATCGAGTTCAAGTATCTTGGTGGCATCTTTTGGGAAGACGGACGTCTCAACAGAGAAATTGAGACGAGAGTACAAAAGGCTTACAACGTCAGCTACCAGCTTGCCCCACTCCTCAAACATCCTAACATCGCCATTAAGACCAAAGCCAAGCTCATTAACTCTATCTTCATCCCCACCTTGACCTACCAGTGCCAGACATGGACCCTGACCAACAGTCTGGACCGTAAGATAACCACCTGCGAGATGATGTGTCTAAGGAGAGCCGTCAACAAAACCAGACGGGACATGACCAGAAACAACAAGATCAGAGAAATGATGGGAACAACACCTGTCCTCCACTACATTCAGAGGCAAACAATCAGGTGGTTTGGACATCTCACACGTATGGCACCTCGCCAGCTTGCCAGTAAAGCCTACTACAGAAAAGTGTCAGGGTACAAAGCAAGAGGAAGACCAAGAAAGACCTGGATCCAGGGTGTGAAGGATACCCTGAGAACATTCAGTATCCCACCCAGTCAGGCCATCAAACTTGCTAGAGACAGGAAGCTCTTTCTCCCCTCGACGCCCTAGGGGTACAAGAGGACGGATAAAGTAAAGTAAGGGATCTTTAACGTGGGCAACTTGCACACGGGTCCTCCGAGATATTTCGCCCTTGTCCGAAAAGGCTAGGTGTAGATTTTACCTACCATAAGATCAGGAGTGTGGCGGAAAGACAGCAGTAAGAAGAAGCCAAAAAGAAGCAGTGAAAGGGCTGCAGACAGAGTCCGAAGCCCATGGAAGGTGGCAAAGGACGTGAGGGGGAATAGGCAAAAAGTGGAGATGAATGCAGACGACAGAACATTGTTAGATAGCAGGAAAGGAGGTGAAATGAGACAATTTAAGAGAGAAAAAATTTCCGTCGCTATCCGGATTCGAACCCGGGACTTATTGAATGAGAGGCAAACACTTTAATCTCTAAGTCACGAGAACCCCCACTAATGAATGTGAACACCTACCACCCCCCTCCCACGCCTCTGTCCGTCTGTACCAATAGCTCATATTATCATGGATATATCAGATACAGTTGATATGAAGAAAAAAAAGCAATATTATGTACATTGTACATTCCTCCCCC